TCAGTAAAAAAAAAAAGTTGTACTGGAAAATTTCCAACCAGCTCCACACCCCACCCGCATTGATTGCAAGCCCACTGGAAGGGGTGGTTGGCACCTGCCCCTTTTGTTCTACAGTCACATTAATTTGCCCTGGTCTGGTGCAGGTTCTTCTACAAATACATGTGCTCTAGGCCTGCAATTCTTCCTTATTCAGGTATTTTTGAAATAAGTGCTGCCCTGCCAGCTGTGAGAGAATGGATAACAATACTGTCCTCATGTCTTTCGTCTCTCTCTCCCCACTCCCTCCTCCTTTCTTTTCCCCTCTGCTTTTGTATGCTTACAGAGAGAAGGTTTCCTAGGTTGTCCTTGCCAAGGTGGTAGTTCTCTGTCAGGCTGTCAAACTTATCTACTAATAGCTATGAAGAGCATGTGCTTCAAGAAAGTGAAACCCGAAATGCATAGCCTTCAGTTGTCTTAAAAAGACATTTTTCATTATCTGACAAAGAGATGTGGAGTGTTAAGGTTATGATATCATTACTTCGGTGGTTGTTACACCAGTAATTTTTTTTTTCCATGCTATTTTAGAAAGTGTGCCCTTTTCCCTGTGTTAGACACATTGCTTCCTTTCATTAAAGCCTGATCTGTAAAAAGTGCCGTCACCTTAAATGATGAGGTAACTGGGGGCCAGTCAGGGGTACAGTCAATTTGATCTCGATTTAGGGCATTTCTTGCTACTAATCTGCTATGAAATGCCTTGTGAGGCTCCTTTTTTTTCCCATTCTTTTTGTCTTTCTTGAACTACACAGATTTTTTCATGTTTTATAAGTGGCCTGCACAATGAAACCCCAACCTCACTTGAGGTGGGACCACCACTTGGGAACATCATGAGACTGAGTTGGTATTTTTTGCCCTAGGACCTAACCGCAGCCTTTCCGCTCACATAAGGACTCGCATTTAGCTGTGCCCTATTCCCATGAGCGGTTTCTTTCTTCTTAGTAATAGGGAAGGCAGAAATAATCCTACTCTCAGCAGTTTTGGGATTACAGGGAAAAATTGAGTTCCTTGATGTATGACTGTGTAGGGATATTAATCTTTTCCCTGATGCCTGTTGTCTGTCATCTCTGTCTTACCAGCACTGTCCTTTTGACCCCTCTACAAGGGTAACTTGTTATTAACGTTGCCTTTGCTGCAGATACTTGGTATGCAGATGACAGCACCAACAGTTTTTCTAAAAGGGCTTGTTCTGTGTATTATTGGATGTGATATTCAAAATTGTCTTCAGCAACAAAGGATTTTGATTTTTCATTCCGTGCTCTGGCTCATGCTCATTTTACCACCATTTGCGAAGTTGATAAATTCAGAGGAGGTTGTGTTGAGTCAAATGTCGGCTCTTTGTTGTGCATCTCTGAGACAGATAGCTCAGCGTGAGACCACCGGGAAGTTTTGGTATGATCCTTGGGTGCCCTTTGCTGGGGGAGGTGGTGGTCGAATCATTTAAAGCATTTTATGGTTTTATAGACTGGTCAGAAGTCACTGAGAACCAAAACAAAATCACTGTGTCAGGCATTTTAATGTCATTAGTGGATTTCTGTTTCTCGCAGCATACTGTGAATTAGCACATTTTAATGAAAGTAGATTTAGCAACTGCAGAGGGAAACAAAAATATTAAAGTACAAAGAAGAACTGGAGAAAAGTTCATGAGATGAGAAAAAAAAAAATTAATATGAATATGCCATGAGTGCTGTTCGTGTTCCTGCAGTCCTGTAAGGTAATTTTTCCCTTGAAATTTGGAAAAAAATGGTGGTCATGCAACTAATTACAAAATCAGCAGTCCCATGGAAAACATTTTGTGCTTTGATAATTTAAGTAGAGGTAGAATAGTAGCTATTTTTAATTTTAACCTTTTTAGAATAAAGAGAGGGTAACTGTGGCAGAAGAAATACCAGTCTCCTCCTTATACGACTTGGATAAGCTGTGCTGGTGACTTTGAAATGTTTTTCTTTTGCTGTAGTTGAAAGTGAATCAAGGCTATTAATGCAGATTTCAGTCTGTCTCAAAACTGAAATACAGCAACATATTCTGAGATGGATTACCCACAGAGATCAGAGATATTGTCGTCCATCTCCACTTTAATTGTGATGTGTTCATTTCCATTTTCTTGTCAAATAAAGAGGAATAGCCTCTAAAGAATAGGGTCATTTTTGTACATCTGTTTGTACTTTGGTGACTTTAAATCCTATTCTGCTGTCTCCACAATAACTGATTCCAGGGCAAATCATAGTGAAGTGTAAGCAGGCAATCTTCTTCAGTCTTTGATAGATGCTGTCTGAAAGACTGTCTGTTACAGGAGAAGCTGTTAATAGAATGGTTTAAGATTTTTTTTTAACCTTCTTCCATGTTTGTGATATAAATATGTTTGGATTTTATAGCTAGGATTCATGTCATTGTCTACTATTACTAGCTTTGGCAAATGCCTCACATTGTAAGACTTCATTTTCAGATGCTTCTAAGAGTTGTTGCATCTTATCTGCTTGTTCTGAAAGGTGTCTGCCTCAGCCTATTTAATTTTTTTAATGAAAAATGCAGTTAATGTGGTTCAGAGTCTGCTGAATGTAAGGTTTTGGGTAAATACTGTTTTGCTGTGTTAAATCTAGCAGTAGTTCTCTGAAAAGCTCTTATGGCCTTTAGATGTATGTCTGAAATGGGATCTGAAATCCCTTTGGGGAAGAGTCCTTGTTTTTTTGCCCACCCAAATCTGGCCCAAGTTGGAGGCCAAAAAAATGCAGTTTCTACGTGCTCTGTAAAGAGTTTTTAGAGCTTTGCAGGTTAATATTTGAAGACTCGGTAAGCTCTGAGCATGCTTCAGCCTAAGCTGTGAAGGGTTTTCTTTACTGGCTGTTACAGCCAGGATCTGCTTGTAGGATGTAATGAGCTTGGACAGAGCTCTGAGCTACAGCAGCTGTAACCCTGTAACTTTTGGTGTGTCCAAGCTAGTTCTCAGTGGGCAGGTTTGGGGACCTCAGAGTCACAATGCAGAGGCGGGCGCTTCCAGCCTTTGCAGTGTGTACAGCAGGGTCGCAACAGACAAGGATGCTTTGTCTCAGCTTTGACCACAGCAAATCCTCAATATATGCTGAACAAGGCAGAGCTGTAGCAAAGGAGCAGGACACAATATTAAAAAAAAACACAAAAACAAAAAAACAAAAACCCAAAGCGCCTTATTCAAAGATGCTAAATTAAAGAATACTAGTCAGGGTTTCCCAGTTTTCAGACTTGACCTTTCTGTCTTTATCATGTTTTTGTAATTCTTCTTTTGCATAGGTAATATGCTCCAGGGTTTGATTATAACATCCAAGCAAAGAGATACCTGCCCAGGAAAACAATCAAAGACCTTGTTATTTTGTGGCTTTTTTCCTGCTCTGTCAGCTATTTGGGCATCTTCCCTGAACTGTAGAAGAAGCCTGTTTACACTTGTGCTTCTGAGCCCCCTTCCAGCCTCCACTCTTGTATTTCACACCTCTTATACGGAGGTATTTGTGTGTGTGCAGGGAAGCTCCATGGATTCATTAGGGGAGGACGGTCTCCTTTTCAGAACATGAACAGCCCTGGGAATTCTTCACGTATGCCTTTTCCCGTACCTCTCAAGGGCATGCCCTGGCACCAGCATCAAAAGATATAGAGGCAGAAATGATCAGCATTATCTGATTGTGTTGAGTCACTTTTACCAAATTATGCTATGAAAACAAAATGTTCCTGCCCTCCGTAACTCCTAGAGGAGGCAATTTCTGTTACATAATGTGATTTAGAAGCAGATAGCCTGTGTAAAGTTTGCTTTCTTGCATGTTACCCAAAGAAAATTCACTGTGGCTTTGCTCAGTTGTTTGGCAGCAGGAAAATCTGCAGACTGGGTTTTCCATGCTCCATTAAGTTTGGTCAGGTTATCTCTTAATTGCTGCATTACTTCTTTACCCATTGGAACCAACAGTGTGGGACTCTCTCTGGATCTGGTGTTTGCCAGGGTAGCTCAGGGTCTGGTCCCTTTTTTAAAAAGGCAGATGGAGAGATGTTGAAGAAAAATTCTGTTGTTGGGAAGTGCCTGTTTTGCACTGCTACTTAGGGGTGTTTCAAACTAACAGATACTTCAGTAATGGGTAAGATAAAGAAATAAATCTTTACACAGATGTCCTGTCCCATGGAGGAATGATGTGAAAATGCACTTTTCTGTTCAGTGAAGCAGGCTTCTGAATATTCTGTGTCCACTTTTTTTTTTTTTTTTTTTTTTTTTTTTCTGTTAGAAAGCTGTTAGAAGAGCTTTTTAACAGTGTTTCTAGAAGTGGATGTCTTTTGTAGGAAGAGGGGAGGTAGCACATTCTGGGTGTTGGTTTCTAGCTAATTAAAAACTCAGGAATTCAAGGGACATGGAATTATCTCTGACTGATACCAAAGTTATCGGTTGCTTTGGCCAGAGATAGGATTCTTCCCAGACAATTGCGAATAACCCAGAAATTTAACATCTTCCATAAGGAAGCTGGAGTGTCGTGGCTGTTTTCAACACTACTGTATGTGTCTGCTTTCTTCTGCCTCAGTGGTAATTCAGAGGGTCATATTCCTACTCATGCAAAGCGTAACCTGCACAAGTTAAGACCCGTTAAGCAAGGACTTCCAGCTGTTTCATTCCTCTAAGCATATAAATATTTATATCACCCCAGGGTTCCTTTCATGCTGAAAATAAAGGTAGCACTCATCTGCTGTTAAAATATATTACCCAGGAGCTAAATGACTTATCTCAGTATTAGGAAGATGGATGAGAGGAGTGGAAAATTGACGATAATATTGGTTGGAAGATCTACTGAATCCAGAGGGACTTAATGTTTACTTGAAACTCCTGCTGGGAAGTGACGTAGAGGTTGATAGTGCTGTGTTTAGCTATCAAGAGATGATTAATTAAAAGCTGTAATAAATGTGAAATGTAATGGTTGACACACACAGAGCTTCATGGACACTAGCTAAATTTCTTAGTGATGGATAACGTGCACCAGGGATTGATTATATCATCCAAGAAGGATGCAAATGGTGCTTCTGAAGGCACAACTGAGAGAGACAGGGAGAGTCTGCACAAGTGACTTGCTCAAGGCCACATGTGAAGCGAGGCAGCGATTCGGCATCTCTGGTGCGTTACTCCTTCCTGTCCCACCTCTGCGAAAGCATGGGTCCAAACATATTCTGCCCCAGGCTACTGGGAGTCATTTCCCACCCTCTGCACTGGAGCAAGTACGCAGGGGGTGGGGGGGCTTAAAGCCAAGGTACCAGTGTAGTGTCACCCGAGTGAACTGCAGTTCTCCTGCTGATCTGCAGCACTACCCTGCAGTGGCCTCTCTGCCCCAATTCATCTGCCTGGACGTAAAATGAGAGAGCTGGTAGCACTGAGCCACTGTGCTCCTGCGTGGTCGGTGCAGGTTGCTTAAGCAAGGGCTGCGTAAAGGTCTGAAAAAATGTTGGGAGGCTTCGTATGATGAGAATGTCTTTTGAGTCAGTCTGCTGACTTTTAGGGACTCAAGGTGCTGCCTTGCTCTTCAGTACACGCTGCTGTCACTTGGGGGCCCCTTACATCCTCCTCCTCATCTGCCACAGGATTTAGATGGAGCATGCTGAGAGCAGCCCGCTTTTCTTCCAGCAAGAATTAATTTCACAGACCATTCAAGATTCTGATAAATGAAGCGTGTCTGGATATCATTTTAGAGTAGTATCTGTAGTGAAATCAGAACTTGTAAAAATTGGGAAGATACATAGGACTTGTCTGTGTTTTGCTTTGTTGCCAGGTGAATTGTTGTTGCTTGTAGTATGATTAAAGGGTCTGACTGAACACAAAAATATGTCATGCATAAGTAGGATTTTAATAATTCTTCCCTTAAAGTAAAATTATTTTTAATAGAAGATACCAAAATAAAGAAATTCTCTATCCCTCTTCTTTTTTTTTTTTTTTTTTTAAATTAATTATTATAGGTAACGAAAATCCAAATTGAACCTGATTGGCCTTGGTTTTGCACTTGATAAAAGAGATTGATTTTTCTCTTCCTTGAAACTGCTAAGCCAGGCAAGGACAAGAGGAAGAGCCTTACAAAAATCTCACCATTGGGGCAGTTTACACGGTTAATTTGCATACAGTTACCCAAAAGGTTTTTGGATAATGTTTCTGCTTGGTGAGATGCTGAAGGGGGAACACCATCTTCCAGAACAACCATTGTTAATGTCCTTTCAGTATGAGAGAGCTTTCACCCTCCCAGTGCTCCCTGTTGACTTGCTGCCAGCTGCTCGTGTATGTAATGTATATGGGTATGCTTAAAATCCTTTCCCCTATATGTGGAAATCGATGGTTTATACAAATACAGCACCATACCGTACATATATGCCCCATATGTGCTGCAGTTTGTAATGTCAGTGAGCACAGGGAAATGAGGATTGGGGCTATTTTAGAGGATGCCAGAGAAAAGACAGAGAAATGGAGAGATTTATTTGTTTGGATAAGCCTCCCTGTTACTGAATTGCTTCAGTGCTGCACCTGTTTCTTGTTCTTCCTCTCTCTCTTTTGCTGCTTCTTTCATTGCAGCTTTCCAAATATGTAGGCAACAAAAAAACACAGCCGGTGAAATGGAAGATTACAATTATGCATCAGTATTCCTGTAACGCGGCTGCTCAGTAATGTCCCCTGGGAGCGTTACAATGAATATCTGACATTAATTGGCTCAGTACCTGTATGTCTGACCTTGCAGAAATTTAATAGATCAATTCTACATGTTGTTTACTGATAAAGAAAACTTCTTCAGGGCAGGGGCTGCATCTTTGGACATGTGTGTACCACACTGACAACCAGAAGCAGCAATCAGACTCGCTGGGTCTTGGAATAAAGAATAAAATAATAGACAGAGGGATCATAAAGTGGTTTCTCTCCCTTGTTTTGCCAAAATCTGTTCCTCAGCAGTTTTTAGCCCACGTAAAGTCTTTGTCACTGGCAGATACTGCATACTTGATGCACAAATGCTGTTTTTTCTCCTTTTCAGTAGTACATGTATTGCCTTCATATGTGTGTTTGACATACTGAACGATATAACTAAACCAGGTCAGAACGACAGAGGCAGCTACTACTGGCTGTACTTGTGTTGCAACAGCCGCCTCTTTCATGTCACTCACCCTCCGGTGACTGAACCTGTCAGGAGGATGAGGATGTCGCAGGGGGCTGGGAGCCGCTCTCCAGCCGTGGATGGGTCTCAGCGGGCCCTGCTGGGTCAGCAGCAAACCCCCCTCTCCTGCGCTGCTCGGTCAGCTGGCTTTAGCTGCTCTGGGGATGCGGGCTGCGTGTGCAGAAATGGATGATTGTTCAGCTCCCCTCCCTGTCAGGGAGAGGAGAGGGAGGAAGTCAGTGTCCACACCGCAGCTCAGCCGAGACTCACACACGGGGTGGCCACTGGGCTTAACTTTCTGTGGGGGTGCTCGTTTCCTCAAGTCGAAAAGCTGTTGGAAAGGAGGGAGATCTGTGTTTTAAGAGATGCTCAGCGGCATGCAGGGCACGCCTGTCCCGCTGGGTTTATTGCCTTTGTTGAAGCACAGGAGAGCAGCCTTACAGAGGGTGTATTCCGCTTCTCTATGGCCGGAGTGCTCGGGAGCGCCCGCCGCCTTCTCACTATTGTTACCTGTCCCCTGATTTATTTGACCGGCGGCTGGGAATTACACAAGCCAGCACCTGGGGGACAGGGAAACCCTCACACACCAGCCCCCCCGCACCACCACCCCCCGATGCCGAGTGCCGCTCCCGAAGGGAGCCCGGTTCTCCCCGCCGCCCCCTCCTCGATTTAGGCCTCGGGCGGCGGGCACTGATCGCGCTCTCTCTCCTGTCTCTTATACACAT